TTTCTTACAATTATAATAACGTAAAATTTGAATCTTTCTTAAGAACTTATTTAATTGGTATTGAATAATGCTGTCTGATTTTTCATAACATTTCAGAGCTTTCTTTAGAACTTAGAGCTTTCTTTATGTATTTACTACAGAATTATACTGTCAATTTTTTCATAACATTTCAAAGCTTTCTTTACAACCTATGTATTTAGTACAGAATAATGCTGTCTAATTTTTCATAACATTTCAAATTCTTTAGAAACTATGTATTTAACACATAATAATGCTGTCTAATTTTTCATAACATTTCAAGTTTTTGTTTACAACCTATGTATTAAGTACAGAATAATGCTGTTTAATTTTTCATAACATTTTAAATTCTTTAGAAACTATGTATTTAGTACAGAATAATACTGTCTAATTTTTCATAACATAGCATTTCAGAACTTTCTTTAGAATGTAAGTATTTAGTTCAGCGGTAGGTCAAGGGATAGAGGGTGCGCCCCACCCTCAGGGATGTCACAGGTGACTAAAAATATAAAAAGTGGTAGAAACTAAATTCACTTTTATTATTTATCGTCTAATTTATTATTAAATCTTGGCTACTACAATGGCATATATTCCAAGTAATTCATATTTAAAACTAAAACATTCTTTGCATTCACTATCAATAGTTAATTAAAAATAATACGAAAATAAAAGTTGTTAGTTATAATGCCTTTTAATAAAATTTTGAATTTTATTAGTCAGCACTTTTTGCATTTTTAGTCGCCTGTGGCAACCCAGCCCCCTCTAATAAGATGCCCAGGGTCGAATCCAAACGGTGGCTGGTTTTCGTGGTTTTCCTCTCCATGTTGCGCAAATGCAGATAAGTTTCGTAAAAAAAAAGTCATTCACGAAGGCTAGTTTGTTCCAATACTTGATCCATGAGTTCCCTTGTCTTCTGGATTGTGATCAAAATTACACGGCTACAGAGTTAAACATTAGTAGTGGTAAACCCAAAATTTGATCAGCTGTTCAACAACGGTTATAAAATAAAAATAAATAAATTATAATTTCACATTGTCTATAAATGATAAAAATAAAGACATTTTATTTAAAATTACAAAACATGCAGTTGGAAAGTTAAACTGAAATTGTGCAAAACCAATTATATAAAAGACCTCTCACACGCTAATTTATAAATATCATATTAAAAATGAGGTGAGATAGGTTCGAATCCCAGTGATGGCTGGTCGAATCGAATTCTGCATCTGTCTATCACCGACCATAGTGCTGACGTAAAATATCCTCAGTGGTAGAGGGATCATAGGTAAGGGTCCTCTTGCCAGGGGGCTAACAACCGTGGGAGGTTTTCGTGGTTTTCTTCGTCATGTAACGCAAATGCGGGTTAGTTACAGCAATAAAGTTTGCCACGAATTCAAATTTCTCACAACACCTAATCCAGGAGTTGCCTTGTCTTCTGGGTTGGCTTCAAAAGTATAAGGCTCAGAGTTGAACATTGATGGTCGTAAACTCAATATTGTATCTGCTGTACTACGTCGGTTATAAAAAAGAGCCCTAACATTTCGAATGTTTCCTTAGAACATACGTCTTTAATAAAGAACCATGCTGTCTAATTTATGACATTTCATAGCTTCCTTTACAACCTATGTATTCAAGTACAGAATAATGCTATCTAATTCTTCACTAGACAAAAAAATATATTCGGTATCCATACATAAAACCTTTTTTTCGTGATACTGCCATTGAATAAATAACCCGTAATGCCCTTGTTTACCATTTCTTTATTTACCATTTAATAGAGCCGACTATTTTTATCATTTTCGTGACAAGCGTTCGTAAAGTAATAAAACGAAAACAAAATATTGGGAATTGGTTCGTAAAAAAAAAAAAAAAAATGAAATACTCGGTGATGCAATGATTGAATCGGCAACTAAAGGTCGTATTATACGGTTAGTTGACGCTTCTGAAATTAGCTGAGTGAACTAAATTTGACTTTAACTGCTTTTTCTAGAGATATAGACATCTCCCTAGACGTCGTTCTCGGTCAACATGCATGATAAAAGAACCTCTCAAAGTCACGAATGCATTATATAAAGCAAAAATGTAAATGTTTACCTTAAAGAAAGTTATTTTATTTTATCTCTCGACAATAGAATAGATTCAAGTTGGAAGGTTTATGTTTATACCAAATTATAACCGAAACGACAGTAAACCATGTTCAACTATTAAGATCACTTTACATTTTAATTTTTTAAATTGAAATTTAATTAGAAGAAAATGAATTTTGTTTTGCCTTACTATCCAATTAATAATTTTTCTTAATATTTCATATATCCTTTTAACATAAAAATGTAAACGTTTACCTGGGCCGGGATAGCCTGGTCTGTAGGGCGCTGAGCCCATGTTCGAGAATTCGTGGGTTCGAACCCCGCCGGCCGTAGTAGTAAAGTGACTGATGCACGTTAAATCTGTCGAGTCCCAAACGTCTTCCATGTTCTCATAACAAATCAATACCTCTGGGGGTACTGGATTAGAGATCGATCGTTCTCTGACTCAGGTTAAAATTACGATCTGTGGATGAATGAAGGGATGTATGAATGGGTCCGTCCTATAAACGGGTGTGACGTATGGTGTGGCAGAAGTCGAATTCTTGACCATAGATGGCGCCACTGGAAAACAAGAACTCTCACACCCCCTCTGCCTAAACAGGCATACGCCAACAACAGCAAACGTTTACCTTAAAGAAAGTTACTTTACTCTATTTCTCTACCACAGAATAGGTTCTACAATAGAATAGTAGTAAGGTTTATTTTTCTACAAAATTATAACCGAAACTCCAGTAAACCATATTCAACTCTTTACCACTGAGGATATTTTACGTCAGCAGTAAGATCGGCGCAAGTCGGGTGCGGAATTCGAATCTACCAGCCATCGCTGGGATTCGAACCTCTGGTTCACATCATTGGAAGGTAAACGCTCTATCTGGACCAATAATCTTTATAAATAAGTTTTTCGCAGGAAGTTTATGCAGCATATTTTTATGTCGAAAACCTTGGACATAAAAGTCGGAGTAACAGCGTACAAAAAAAAGAAACTCCAGATTATAATTATATAGATATCCTATATGAGAGTAAGGCGAGCTTCATTTGAAAAGCAATCCGAATGTTGTTTCCGGGGTTGGAGAACACAGCGAGCAGAGGTGAACTCCTTAACTCATTACATTTCCACTGTTATTCTCCCAAAAATCAGATTCACACTGCTCATTTTTTGTTCACCCTTTTTAGTCACCTTTTTTAGTTAGTTTATCACTTTTCATTCTATAAAATGACGCAAACTTCACTTAAGAAGTAATTCAAAATAAATTTCAAAACAAAATTTGTAGAAGTAATTTAACAATTTTGATTATTAATTCTTTTGAAAATATCGAACCAATAAAAATCTTAAAATTATTCATTATTATTCGATAAGAAACCAATTTTTCACTTTTTGTATCGGCATTGCATAATTATACATCCATAAAAAATTAATGAACTGTAAGAGGTTTTGTTTTTAACCTCGGCTGAGATATTTGTTCTGACAATATATTATTTCTTCTTCTACGAAAATCCTTCTTCCTCTTCAGGAGCGCAACAGCCCTTTGCAGACCTTGGCTGCCTCAACAGCACGCCTTCTCCAGCTCCCTCTGTCCATGGCAACTCCCCTCCAGTTCTTAAGTTTTAGGACTTTGAGGTCGTTTTCGGTGTCGTTGAGCCATCGAGTAGGTGGTCTACCTCTAGAGCGGGACCCCTGAGGGTTCTTGAAGGTGGCAATTTTTACAGGGCTATCTTCAGAGCCTCTCCATATATGTCCGAGCCATCTTAGTCGGTTGCTTCGGATTATCTGCATAATTTGAGGATATTTATAGAGCTCATAAAGTTCAAAGTTGTACCGTGTTCGCCAACATCCCCCCTCTGGTATGGCACCAAAGATAGTTCTAAGTATCTTTCTTTCAAACGTTTCCATCGGGCGTTGGACGTCAAGGTTTAAAGTCCAGGTTTCGTTTCCGTATAGCAAGACAGGCAGAATGAGTGTCTTATATAATTTTAGTTTTGTTTTTCGGCTAATAAAATTCGATCTTAGTTGACTTTTTAGTCCAAAAAAGCATTTGTTGGCCATATTGATTCTATTGTCAAATACGAAAATCCTTAAAAAGTTTTATTTCTGCTTATTTATTTTGCCAATACCTATACTCTGAAGTTAGAGAGATTTATTATCAATATTTTTTTTTCTTTCTAAATATATTTAATTTAAAAACAATCCTAGAGCTATTTTGATCAAAATTAGTTCTTTTTAAATATATTCTGAATTTTTTTTCAAACAATTTTTTTTTTTTTCAAATGCGGAATAAAGAGATATAATGAAGATTTTTAAAAAAAACTATTAAATGTTTAACACAAATTAAAAAGTAAAAAATTTTCTTTATCAAATACACTGATTAAGATTTAAAAAAAAAATCAAGTAATAACAGTGTGGATTTTTTCTACCAAAACTAATCCGTACAAAATTCACAACATAAATCATAATCAACTCAAATCAATTATTGCTCTTCTAAGTTACATAAATACTTAAAATACTTTTCAGAATGAAAACTCTCGTAAGTTGTAGAAAAAAATTCCCCAATCTTCATAGATAATTTTTTTAAAAATAATTTTACAAACTAAAGAAATCAAAACAAAAACATTATGCAACTTGTAAAATTTATTTTCATGCTGCAAATTAGTTTTGCACTATTTTGCTAATTTTACGACAAGATATACAGTAACTAGCCAAATTATTAGACATAAGATTCTATGCAAAATCTTAATTATCAGGTGATATTACAAGGGGTGGTCAAATGAAAAGGTGCGAAACGACGTAAAAACGTAACAGTTAAATATTTGCATATTCCGCCATGGGAGAACGTAGCGAGACATCTCTGGATACGATTGGAGTCTCTGACTGGGATCGGAGCATGCGTGGGAGCCCGCATGCGCAGGAGAGAGCAGAGGCTCTTATCAAAAGTGGCGTCCAAACAATGCGGCAGTCCGTATGAGGAACAGAAACTCGAGCACAGAAAAACCATTAACTCTTATGTATACTGTGAGACACACCGACGCCTACGCAGGTCCATCAAGAACAAAAGACCGGGGCTGATCACGGAGGGTGTGGTTCTGCTCCATGATAACGCGCGTCCACACGTCTCCAGAGTCACACACATGGAACGGGCCAAGTTCGAGTGGGAGACGTTGAACCATCCGCCCTACAGTCCGGATATGTCGCCCTGCTATTTCCACGTGTTTGGTCCACTGAAGAAACACCTGAAAGGGAAGCGCTTCAACTCGGACGGCGTACTCAAGGACGCTGTGAAGGATTGGGTCTCGTCGCGGCCGCAGGAATTCTGGGAACAAGGAATCCTGTGGCCTGTTCATCAGTGGGATCGTTGTGCTCAGGCCTATGGTGTATATTTTGAATAAAGTCTACATTTGTACCCACCGTGTCGTTTCGTACCTTTTCATTTGATCACCCCTTGTATGATATTACAGCTCTATTGTTTTTGCGTGACTGTTTGCACTTGCTTACGTTTGTGTATTAATTGGTTAATAAATACAAATAGAAAGCAAAAAAAATCTCTTGAATAAAAACCCATTTCATGCCTGTTTAAATATAAAAGTATTGCCTATAAATTCGTGCAAAGCATGTCATTATAAAAAAATTACAGTGCGTCTCATAACTTGATCTAATTAATACAATATAATAATGCAATGCGTGATGTAATAAATATTCTATATTTATATAATATATCGTCTAATTTATCCAATCGTCGAATTTATATTACATATCGCCTTATTCAGTCAATTGTTACGCGAACGTAAGCAAGTGCAAACCGGTTTCAGCCACATTAAAAAGAATAAAGCTGTATAAGTAGCACCTGATAATTAAGATTTTACATAAAGTCTTATAATGCGTTTAATAACTTGACCAGTTACTGTATAAGATGCAAGAAACAGCTCAGTTTACGGAACATCTCCCCCCCCATATTTATTCTAAACTTTGAAAAGAGGTCCAAAATCGATTCATTTTAAGAAATTCCACATAAACATATATCATTCAGGTATTTAAATTCGGGTAAATATGCTTCGGAAATGTTTGGAGAGAATGATGGCTCGGAATTATTTTGAGACAGTTTTTCCATCCTCAAAATGATTAGATTTTTATTTAAATTTAAAAATTTAAATTTTCTTTGGAAACGAGCGAGTGGAGTAGAATTTGATTCAATTTATACTCCCACATTTTTAGTTTTTGTTGCAAGCTAAACTGGTGTACTTCGTCTTATTTTGTGGATTAGTTGTGCTTCTTTCTTAAAAAAAGAAAGAAAAAAGTAGTGCTTTTGCTGAAAAAAATAAACGAGCCACAATTTTAGTACTTAAAACTCAAAGCTAAAGTTTGTCTTTATTTTTGCTATCTAAACTATCTTGCTTAAATAATATTTTATAAAACAGCAGAGTGCTTAAATATTTAAAATGTGTATCTAACCATGAATATAGTGTTATTTTTTATTAAATAACCAATTGTGTGGTTCTTCCTCTCTATGAAGAAAAACCGTAAGAAATTACAAGATAATACAAGACTTGAGCACACATCTAAAATTTTCAAGATTCCATAATCGTGATATTGAAAAAATGTTTAATATATATATATAAGTTCAAAATGAAGAATAAAACAAAGAAAAATGAAAGACATATGGAAAAAAAAGGGGGGAATAATAAGTAAAAAAATAACAAGCAACAGTTTATATAAAAAAAAAGGAAGAAATTTTATTTAAAAGACCGGAAAAAAAGATATAATTATTGTTTTTCGTTTTTCTTAACTTATATTATATATATATATATATCAACGTACAATTCATGAAAATCTTTTCAACACGCACTGATTATACTTCAAAATTTTAAAGAATACTTTTAAATCATTAAATACTCATAAAATAACTTTAATGTATCTTAATACCGAAAATAATGGCGAATACTTTACACTAAAGTGGTGTAATGAAGAATGTACATTTTACGCTATTTGGTGTAAAGTAGCTGCCATAGTTTTTAGTTTTCAGTAACACTAAAATGTAAAATAACAATTTCGCGAAGAATCAATAATTTAGGGTGCAACATTGATGCTTAAAATAAAATTACATTTAATTAATTAACGTAGTTCTACGTTAATTCATGAACGTAGAACAGATAGAATATTGCGACAAATTCGAATAACAAAACCAAAGTGAATAGAAATTAAATATTAAAAAACTATTCAATTGAAATGCCTTTACGTATAAATTCAAATACTCTCGATATCTCGAAAACCTTGTAATGTCAAAAAAATAAAAACTTTTTCCCATGGCATTATATATATCCACTTCATGTTAATTTGAATTCCAAGATCTAAGAGTTTCTTCTCAAAAACTTGTTATGTCTAATTTTTTTCGAACGATCAATTGAATCTTTCGAATCTTTAGCACACAGTAAACCCTTTATATTTAAGGCATAATTATTTTTTAGTCTTACTATTGCAGATTGGAATTTAGTCTTATGTTTTATTTCGACTTACAGTCAATTATCATTACATACACATAATTATTAGTAGTCATTCTTATGTTTCATGACTCTACTCTTTAGAGTAATATTTTAGAATATATTTTTCTACTTTTTTTGGAACATATTTAGTTCTGAACTTATTATTTCGAAAACTCGCAATCTTGAGATTTTTTTAGCGTCCCTTCAACTTTGAGATATCGATTGCATAATTAATTATCCCTATTGCACAGCTGGAAAGATACTATTTTGCTATACGATACACAGCTATTTTGTAAGAAAATTTTTGTTTTTGTCCGTGAATAGCATCAAGATAACAAATTCACACCTTTTTTTATTCAATTGTAAACAATCTCCTGACGATAATGTACAAAATTTGAACTTATTAAAGGTTTGCCATAGAAAATACCATAGAACATTCCTATGGAGTTTTCATAGATTTATATATTGTCGTAGTATGTATGTGGCAAAAAGTTTCTTAAGGCTGGTGTTTTCGACAGTGAAAATATTTCACTAATGGTGTGAATGCGCGTGAGATAAGGGTAAGCGTTTTTTATATTTTATATCCGTTGAATGGCCGACCCAGTTTTGGGTTTACGACTACTAATGCTCAACTCAGTAGCCGTGTAATTTCGAACTAATCCAGAAAACAAGGAAACTCCTGAATCAGAGGTATGATTTGTTATGGGAACATGGAGGACTTTGAGACTCGATAGATTTAACGTGCATCAGTCACCATTTACTGAGTCTTCGGCCGGCGGGGAACGAACCAAAGACCTCTTGGACATGGGCCCAGTGCCCTACCAACCAGGCTACCCCGGCCCTTAAGGGTAAGCGTTTCCATTATTAGTGTTTAGGTTTAATTACACCCTTTGAAGAGCATAAAAACGCTCCATTGACCATTAATTTGGAAATAAAGTTTTCCGTAACTGGATTTTTTGCGTGGTTCAACGTTAATTTCAGAGCATGTGTAGCGCCATCTACGGTAAGAGCTTTATGTTTTCATATTTTGAGTGGCATCAGTCTCAATTGTAAATAGAACAGAGATGAGCGGTAGAAATAACTTGTCTGAAAGAAAATGTTAATAGTTAGATGTTTTGTATATATGTAAATAGATCTTTATTAAATCGCCTACCAAATGAAACTTCTTGATCTTCTACTTCCTTCAGCCCTCTCATATTTATTTCTGTCGGTTCTTGTATCCGACAGCATGTAAGCGAGCGGCAGGTAACACAAATCTTAAAATTAAGAGGACATTTTTAAAAATGTAAAGAAATTCCAATTTCTGTCCTATTAAAATGGTGTGACTGTGTTCATTGGAATTAATCTAAGATATGAATTAAAACTTGCACTAGAAATGAAAAATTACAAAAACGTGAAGGAAAAAAAAAATGAAACTGAAAGATTTGTATGAAAATAAAGAACGACAACTCAATATCGTACCAATCAGCGGTTGCTTATTTGAGAATTAACTGCAACTGTGCTAACGCTAATGGAGATAAAAAAAAAAAACTTTCTCTAAGAAAGAAATCCCGTAAAGGCTAAATTATTTCACCCTAAGTAACAGCGAAAAAAAATCCACACTTATATTTTCTTCGCTTTTAGATTTATAAGTCATGAATTTTAACGATGTTTACATAGCATTTGAAAAATATAAAGATGTTTTGAATAACAATGGTGAATCAACGAAATATTTAAATGAGAATAGCATAATTTAACAAAAATTAGATAAGGGGCAATTTCACAATTTTTATGTTTTCATTCTGTGAAAAATATTGCAACTCAAACAAATGCATTTCGTATGTAAACATTGTAAATAGGCATTTCCTTGTTGCTATATTTCTCAATAATGAAAAATAAATTTGAAATAAAACTCTCACTCATAAACGTCAGATTTGACAGCATAAAGAACGGATTCAACTATGTTAACTGTGAAGCCCAAGAACCGGGTACGGTTATACTTTACGAAACTTAATAGATAGAGTATAATAAACCGATAGAATTTAAAAGTTCGTCGGAGTTTAACTACTAGTTTGAAGATGAGTTTTATCATTCATTTTTTATTATTTTTATAATTGAGTTTATGCACATTCCTTCAGTCCTTCGGTTATTTGTTTAATTTCAATTCTACAATGCGCATTTTTAATTTACTAGGAGGCTCTGCCCCCTGTTCGTCTTGCTCACCATCCCCCGTGGTTGCCTTTTATTCATTATCATTCATCATTAGTTTTTAAAAGTCGGCAAAAGAGATCTTTTTGTTTAAAAAATACTTACATATGGGTGATTCTTTGGAAACATGACAATTCGGAACAAAAAATTTCTTCAAATTTAAAGTCTTCAAAATAATCTAATATTTTTTTGTATACTTATTTAGTTACATTTATTAATATCCTACAGACAGCAGTGTAGTTTATTGACATTTGCTGAAGAAAAAAAATAAAAGAGAAGTTCACCAAATTTTTAATGCCAAGAAAATGACATATTTGCTTAGAAGTTTAAAAAACAGTCATTTTAAGCTAATAGTAAGTAAATCAATTTTGCGTTAGAGGGACCATGAGTTGCTTAAATTAATTCTTTTATCCACTGTGGAAAGAATCAAAAATGTTTTTGTTGCTGATATGTACAGAATAAAATTGTGTATAATAATCAATCATTAAATAAAAAAAAATAACTTTGATTGCATTCAAGTATATTACAATCTTACATAAACTTGGTATTAGGTTAATATTTGCTTTCTCTCTTTACATTCAACTGTTTAAAAAAATTTTCTGGTAACTGTTTGAATGTCCTGGCATTTATAAGCCAGGATAATGACAATTTGCCATTATATAGCATTTAACTTCACTTTAATTTAACATTTCGGCCTAAGATGTTTACATTCCGCAGAACACAAC